CGGTCGATTAATACGAGCGGAGAGCGACCATCGGCTGTTATGGCGGCCCACACCATCACCATGGCCGCCGCTTAAGTTTTGGTGGCCAACCGAAGGTGCACGTTTTCAGCTGACCTCTTTGGCAAGCAAAAACACTATCATTTTGTTTCTTTACAAACTGCTGGACAACGAATGTCTTCTCATCGGAGAAAACCAAATTCGGCAGTTCACTACTTTCGGCAAACGAAGCATCTCTTTAGTTCTTGCACTTTTTGGAATTTCAATACTGTTACTCCGAGCTCATTTTTCAATATTTGCCGAATAGAATATTAGGATATGTTCAGCTCACAAGCTATTTTTCGGCCACTGCGACCCGGATTTCGATCAAGTCGCTTCTTTATTTTTCGAAACCATTACTGCTGATGTTGCTGTTTTCTTCCGGCTTAAAAATGACAGCAGTCTGAAGGAAACGTACGCCCAGAAATTCACTCCATTTGGGCTGATTTTAGCCATTAGTTGCACAATAAACCTGAAATCGTGTTAAGGATATATATGGGAGCTATATCCAAATCTGGGCCAATCTCGATAAAATTTGGCAAAGGCATTTCTGAGCTTTATAAAAAAAAACTGTAGCACTGTTGTAGAGTGAATATTTGTACTTAAATCCCAAAGCGGATGAATAAAATATATATGAGAGCTATAGCTATATCTGTACCCATTTCCAAATTTGATGTACTTGCCGATGTGCCGAAATTCAGATCAATTGGACTGATATTGGCCATTTAGTGCACAAATAACCCGAAGTCGGTTGAAGACATATATGGGAGCTATATATGCAAATCTGAACCCATCTTGATAAAATTTGTCAGAGGTATTTCTGGGTTGTATTTTGTGGACTGCATATTCCGAATGAGGAGATTTAAACACCAAATCGGATGAAACACATATATGAATGCTGTATATCCAAATTTGATGTACTTGCCTCCCGACTGAATCCGGTCGGATGTGCCTAAATTCAGGTCATTTAGACTGATATTGGCCATTTGGTACACAATTAACCCGAATTCTGTTGAAGATATATATGGAGCTATATCTTAATTTGAACAGATTCTCACCAATTTCAATAGGGTTCGTCCTAGGAAAATTTCATCTCAATCAGATAAAAATGCGATCTACATTTTGTTTACAAAAATACATTAATCGACTCAGAAAGTGACTCTATGAAGATCCTCAAAAGTAACTATGGGTCTATCTCGCTTCCTTCTCCATGTTACAAATAAATGCACAATGACATAATATGTGGTGTTTAAAGCGCATTGATTAAAGCTCATATCTTTGATAGCCCATGGTGTTCTTCACGATTGTAGCCTTTGACGAAACTTTGGGAAATTGCATAATATTTGATGGTACTTAAATAATTTTTAAAGAATCCACTATCATATCTCAAAGCTGTTTGTCTTGAACAATTCATGTTATATTTCAAATGGTCCTATAAAACATTATAGATGCTTAAGTCCTTAAAAAAAATAAAATTAATGACGCATTTAGTCCTGATGTATCATGTTTTTTATAAATTTACGATCAAAGCTCAAACCGTCCTTGAAAATTTTTTTTGTAAAAAATCTCGACTTCGCCTGAATAAAAATTCTTCATTATATTTCAAAAAAAAAATATAAAAACAAGTAAGCAAAGACTATAGTCGTGCGGGGCCGACCATGTGATACTCTATAACACTACAATATATTAGAAGCTCCATTATGTCCAAATCCCTTTCGCTTTTGAAATTGTGTCACGGAGCACCGCCCAGATATAACCCTTAGAAATTTCACCAGACACATTTGCCCAATATTTACGCACTCCGTCGTGTTGTTAGTTGTTTTAATCCATCTTACAGCTAAATATAATCCAATGGTCATCCAGAATGCTAGACTTCTTCGCTGTCCTTAACTCTCTTCTCAGAAGTGTCGATTGGCTTAAATGGTGTGATGAGGAACTTTTTTCTGTTTTTGGTTCATTGAACCCCTTACTATTTTGCGATAATCTCCAAAAGCAAAAGGCTCATCTGTATCTCCAAATTTAGACTCATCTATATGATTTGCTTATCTACAATATTTGGCTCTATTCGTCAAGGAAATCAGTATAAAAAAGCCAGAAGTTCGCCATTTGTGTATTTCAGAAGATATCACCTTGGCTTCGTTTCTATTTATGACCTTTATAACGGCTGCAAAATCAGAAACATTTTTAGTTGTTGGTCCATTTCAACCCCTAAATATATTGCGGGCATCTTTGAAAACAATAGGCCTAGCACTTCTGAGCCTAACCCTACCCTCGTGAAAATTTTCGTGAGGATCGGACGATAATTGCAATCTGTATATAACAATAACCCCAACCTGTGTTGTAAGCTGAAAAAATATTACAAAATATACTCTTCAATATAAGTCAAATTAAAAAAAAAAATCGCATGCGACAAAAAATATGAAAAATATGAAATATGAAAACAATGTCACAAAACACTACAAAATCTATATTAACACCATTATTGGCATCTTTTTACGCGATTTTTTTAGATTTATTTCTTTTATGCCAAGAGGGCATTCTGAATTGACAAAATTTGTCAAAATCGGTGCAGCCATTCTTGAGATATAAGCATTCTAACTAACATCCCCTTCCTTTGTATGTGCACATTGTATATATTTCGCTATATATATCCGATATATTTACTATCGGCATCTACGTAACGGTCAGAATTGACCTGTTCGTCTATTTATGATTTAGCCGGGACTAAAAATATTCGCGGTTTAATGGAAATTTGACTTTTATTTAACACAAATGTATAGTATTTTTCACCCACTAAATATTACCCGATGACCATCAAAATTGGAAGACTTCTGCCCAGCCCTAAGTTCTAGCCCCATGCTAACTTCCGCGTCGATTGGTCTATAACTACGACATGTAGAGCAACTGCAAAATCAGGAAATTTTTCAGTATTTGGTCCATTTTAACCCCTAAATATTATGCGATCATCTCCAAAAGAAATAGGGTTCTATTCTGACCCAAACCCCACCTCCATTCTAAATTTCGTAAAGATCGGACCATAATTGTGACCTGTAGAATGATTACAAATTAACATGGACAGACGTACAGACGGACGGACGGACATACATAGCTAGATCGACTCAGCTCGGCTAGATAGGAACTTTCCTATGTGGGAAATCAATATTTCGAGGTGTTACATAATTTTTGGCCCAATCAAACTTATAATACCCCCAACACATAGTGTTGTAGGGTATAAATATACATGAATTATTCTTTTCTTTGAGAAATCTACGATTTCACTACGACTACGATTCCGACTGCATAGCTGTTCTTGATACATACAATCAAAAATTACAAAGATTATGGCCTTTCTAATGTGCCACAGTTAGTCCATCCTTATATACGAACACTTGATGCTGCTGGACAGATAAAGGGGAATAATGATAATAACAATTAAAGGATACCAGGAAAATATCTGGCCATCATGAAATGTCACACAGGGTTGTCCATTTCAAACGAGATATGAAATGAAATTAAAACTATGATCCTTACAGTCAGTCATATGCATATACACAGACAAACGAAACGAAAATATGAACTTTCACATGTCCTTTAAATGTCCATCTATGGAATAAAGTTGACTACAATTACGGTGGAGAGGTGGATGAAAGTCAAATAAATGAGAGCGAATGGCAACAGCAAAAAAATAAGCAGATAAATTAATGAGTCCTCCAAGGGCCAGATGGTGATTGCCATGAAGAACTGGATGGTGGATGCAATAACAAAAACAACAGCAACCAAAAAATGGTAGTAAGTGGAAGTTAATGAGAAAGTGAGTGTGTGTGTGTCTCACTCTCTGAATGGACATTTCATTTGTTCAGGTCATAATATTATAATCCACTTAATATTAATTGGTGGTACTTAAAACATGTCCCGTTTCCCAGAGAATCCTGTTTTGGCCCCTTCTTTCCGAGGAAAAGGGGCAAAAAACATATTTCTTTATTGCCCTCAACAAACAAAAGGATTCTATGGGGTATACAACGAGTTTTGTGCGTGTGTGTGGTACCATAATTAAGTTCCGGTTCATAAATGTGGTCATTTAGGTTTCATTTGTTATAAGACAAACCGTTCAAATCTTTGCCAATCCTTACACAAATCAAAGCCAACTCATTACTATGTTTCTCCCCTGCGCTCTCCTTGGAAATGCCAACCAAAAAATAACTTTCTGGCCATTAATGAGCCTTAAACATGCAGTTCCTCCATATATAACTCCTCAAGTCCCATGTGTTCCATTACCAAAATTGCCATTATTGATATCTTTGGCATGACCACAAAAGGTGTTGCTAACTAATTTAGGATTTCTTTCCAAATATCTTACCAGTTGTTGCTGCTGCTGCCACTTCTTCTTTGGTTTCCCTTTTTGGGGTTAATGTGAGTCATTTTTGAGCATAAATTTTGGTTTTCGAAAAGGTGTTTGCCCAAATATTTTTGTGGGTTTTATGGCAAGAATTAATATGGCAGCAACAAATGATTCCTTAACATGTTTCAAATACATTTCCTTGCCACCAAATGACTCAGCCATGAAAGGGTAAGAGAGGGAAGTTGGAGAATTTGGATGCAATAAAAATTAATTTATGCATTTTAATAATATCAGGAAAGACAATTAAAAATCTGTTTCTTTCAAAAGTTTCACATAAGGAACTTTAGTCTCATAAAACTATCAAGGAGATGCCTTAATTGTGTGTGTTGTAGTTGTGTGTATATCCACATGGGTTTGCATATCTTTATTGGTTATAGTTTCGTGAATATATGTAGTAATTTTAGTCAACATATGTTACCAAGGAAAATCTTTCTCCAAAAAGGGGTTAAATCACATGTAATGCCAGCACCTGCGGTGAATATAAATTTTAGAATACATTTTTAATTAAAGTTATTTGTTTTTTATTTATATTTTAATTTTTAATAATAATTTCATTTCTTTGCAGACATATGCACACAATGGCAAGGTACGTATAACTCATCAGAAAAATAATAATCAAGCTGTTAAAAATTTTTTGGGGAATATTTTTTTTCCATAATCACTCGTGTCGAGGTTCGTATGGACATTTTAGCAAGTATCGGTTACTTGACCGATAGATGTATCGTCGTTTTTATGTTTAAGAATTTTATAAGTAATTGAGTGACTTTTGGTGAATCGAAGGTACTATTTCTGAATTTTTAGCCAGTTTTCCGATACCTGCTCTAATTTTTGAAATATTCACATAAAGAAGCAAAATCTGTAAGATACTCCATTTATTATACGAATAGTTAAATAGCCATCCTTCACGAAAGTTATATTTACATAGCAGCATGATAGAAGACTAAAGAAGTTAAACTTCTCGGTCGGCAGATATACAGGGTGAGATAAAAAAACTGCAACAAAGTCACACGCCATATTTTTACATTTTTTTTTAATTTTATTGAATCAAAGAAAAAATGCCATGGAAATACCATAAAATTTTAGAATAAATTTAGATTTGTTCGAATTGGTCATCTTTGGGACGAATTATGACCTTCAAACGGACAATGAAACCGTTACACGCTGCCCGAATGTTGCTCTGCGGTATTTTGGTCCATTCCAGGCGAAGCGTTTGCTAGTCCAACGGATTGGTATCCGGTGGTCATTGTGCGCTGGTAATTAAGCGAGGAACCTCATTTTGTAACCACTCTTGGGTGGCGCGTGAATTAGATAACCTGATTAATTATGTTTATTAAAAAAAAAAAAAAATTGTTTTCTTTTTTTTTTTCTTTCTTTTATTTATTTATTCGTCGACTTGCGACTAAGAGGATGGAACTAAGACTAACTTTTACATTTTTAATTTACTTATTCTACAGGTATTATTTGTTAATTAATTATTGCAGTGTTAGCATAAGTTTATTTTAAATGAAATTTGATTAACACACTTTTGTAAATAATTGTATACTCAGCTCCAGACAGTTTTAACTGGAAAAATAAAATAAAGTCAAACTAAAGAATGTCAAATTCACTTATGCTTACAGTGCAATAATTGTACACGTTTTATTGGCTAATTGTTTCCAAGAACTTATCAATTTTATCAGGGGTAGTATGATTATACGTAACTACTCCCCCCTTTAGACTAGAATTCTCCTGAATTCTTTTATTTAATTTTACAGTTATATATTTATGTTTTGTTATGATTATGAAAATTAAAATAATTATTACAATTACTATAGAAATATTACATACATATGTTATTTTAGTGTGGTATTTTAATTTTCCGATATTTCTTACATTGTATTGATGTTCTTTTTCAATTTGTTCGAACGATATCTTATGTTTAAAATTTTGAGTTTTGTTTGTATTTTCAATTATTTGTCTTTCTTTTGTAATTTCTGCAATATTTGAAAAATAATAATCTTTTATCCTAACTGAACAATTATTAAAATTAATTAAATAATTTCCATTTAACAAAATTTTTTCAAAGTTACAAGTTTGATTTACAGTCGTGTTTATTGCATTTTTAATTATAATTGTGTCTATATCTAACTGTATAATTTCAAAGTCTTTATTTTTTATCAATTGACAATTATTCTTTATTAAACAATGATGACTTAACTTTAAATCTTTTAAATGTTTATTCTCTTCAAATTTATAAGTTTTATTTTGAAATTCAAAAAATCTTTCCATATTAGATTCTATTTCATTATTTTCATTATCTGGTATTGGTACAATAAATCTTAATTTTACTGTTATAAATTGTTTAGGTATTTTTATTCCAAACACAAGATAAGAGTTGTTAAGAAATGTTGTTCCAAACTGAATATATTTAAGTTTGTTATAATCTATTTCATATTTTCTTATTTCTCTACTTGTTAAAATACTTGGGTGTACAATCCCGTATTTTGCAGAAATTACGTTGTCTTGCAAATGCTCTATCTTATTCTTAATTAATTGTATATTAGTCAATTGTTCTAAGTATAAACTTTTATTATTTTCTTCCTCTAAAAATTTGTTTATAGAGTTTAATTCTTGTTCTATTTTCTTTCTATCATTCTTAATTACCATCTTTAAATGACTTAAAGTTATATTGAAATAATCATTAATTACAATCTGTTGATTATTATTTTCCTTAATTTCATTAATATTAAGAAGATGTTCTTGTATGTTCCGTCTGTCTTCATCGTCCATCGTCCCAAATAACCATTTGGTCATACTTCCTATACCGTTAATTAGTCCACGTCTTTTTCTATTTTGTTTGGGTATCAACGTCATTAATTTATTTCTGGCATCTAATAGTTCTAACTCAAGTAATTCTTTGTTTTCGATTTTCATTAGAATAATGTTATCTGTTATGTCATCTAAAATTGTTTCAATTTCGTGAAGATTGATTATATGTAAAATTATGTCCGATTCATTAACAATTTTCTGATTTCCCATGCAAATGTCCATATATCCTCTTTGTTCTGTCAGAAATTTTGTAGTAATTATCCCTCTAGTCTGTGGTATCCATATTAGTATCGTCAGTATTGTCCAAATCTGCAAATTTCAAAGGTCTTTTAATATTGCACGGATGTATTCGCTCCAGTTTTGTCTTTTTATATTTCGGTTGTTCCTTATGTCGGACGGCCTTATAATTTTTTATAAACCCTTCTTTTCTATTTTCCTTATAATCTTCTCTAGAGTTATTTATTTTATCTATTATTTTTCTTTTACTGTCCTCTAAATACTTTCTAACTTTATTTTCATCCATTTTTCCTTGTTGAACCTCTTTAGGAGTACATTTAATAGTTGAGTGATATCGTTCGTTGTAATTTCTAATTGATCTCTGAATTAATTGTTTCACCGGTATTTCCTTATTTGCTTTATACATTATCCTAAACTTTTCCGCAATTGTGTTGTGAAATCGTTCTATGTCGGCGTTTCCCGTGTGACTATTAGGTTTGGTCAGATGCAATTCTATATTTTCATTGTCTAAGAATTCCTTTAATCTAGTGGTTTTAAATTCATTATCGGCTATTATTTTCCTTGGCTTCCCTACCTTTGTAAAATGATCATCTAATTGCTCCATTATTGTTAAATGATTTCTATCATTCAATGGATACGCTGCACCGAATTTAGAAAATTTATCAATTATTGTCAAAAAATGAAATCTTTTAATCACATATGTGTCAATATGTATTATTTCGTTTTTCGTCGACGGTGTTTCTGTGTATGAGAATTTCAATTTAATTGGATTTCTATCATATTTTATCTCCTGACAAACTTCACATTGATTTATAACTAATTGAATTAGTTCCATTAATCTTGGGTAATAAATTTTATTTTTTATTTGGTTATAGGTTTCCTGTATGCCCGAGTGCATACTTTCTTTTACATGATATAATGATATCTGTTTCACCGCCTCCACTTCTGTTTCTATATCTTGAGCCCTGATAGTGCATTTAATAAATTCCACTTGTTTCTCATTAGAGTACATTTCTATTAGTTTTTCCTGAACAGTATTATAGCTTCTCTCCGATACTTCCGAAAATATACCTATTTTTCCTTTGGTAATATACTTTCTAAATATTTCCCCCATTTCGTGAAAATCACTTTCCGCTATGAAAATTATCCTTTTATTATGTAAATGTTTTATTTCCTGAACTTTATCATTTGTAAGTATAATCTGTGTCCTGTACTTATTCACTATTTCTTCTTTTATAAAGAAATGATCTTGTAAATTTTCATCAGCTGAATGAATTGTAATCATTGATACATCATCATCATCCTCAATATTATTTATTATTCTCAATTCTGAATTATTCTCCGAATTTTGTACCTTATCTGAAATGGTATCATCTTCATTATCTTTCTCAATTCTACTTAGAAAATCTGCCACCTTGTTTTCCTTGCCTTTTATGTATTCTATATTAAAATCGTATTCTCCTAATTTCAAAAACCATCGCTGGTGCCTGGGTGACATGTCTTTCCCTCTATATTTTGTGTGTAAAAATCTGATGGGTTGGTGATCCGTAAGTATTTTAAATTTTCGACCATAGAGGTATGGTCTCAAATAATTAACGCTCCATAATATTGCTAGAAATTCTTTGTCCGTTGCCGAATAATTTCTTTCGTGATTGTTAAGCGTTCTTGATGCAAAACAAATTGGATGTCCCTCCTGTGACAGGACAGCACCGATTGCGTAATTCGACGCATCTGTAGTTAATGTAAATTGTCTTTCATAATTTGGGTATCTTAAAATTGGATGAGAGCTAATTAAAGATTTTAATTTTTCAAAAGCTTCTATGTATGTAGGGTCCCTTAAATTTATTTTTACACCTTTCTTTAAGTATTTTGTTATTGGCTGTGCGACTTTAGCATAATCTCTCACAAATTTTCTATAATATCCCGTTAACCCCAGGAAACTTTTGATTTGTTTTTCTGTTTTAGGTAAATCTAATTCTTGAATAACCTTAATTTTATTGGGGTTTGGTTTTAGTCCTTCCTTTGTCAGAATATGCCCCAAAAATTCTGTCTCTCTTTTCATGAAATTACATTTGTCGATTTGTATTTTTAAATTTGCCCGTTCCAATACCGTGAAAATGTCCGTTATGGCTTTAACGTGTTCCTTAAGAGAAGTACTAAAAATAAGTATATCGTCCAGATAAACTACACATGTTTTATTAATGAAATCTCTTAGTGTTTCATTCATTAATCGTTGGAATGTCGCTGGGGCATTTTTTAACCCAAACGGCATTCTTATGAATTCATATAATCCGTGAGGTGTCACAAAAGCTGTTTTCTCTCTGTCCTGTTCTCTTATTAGAATTTGATGGTATCCCTTGGCTAGATCCAAGGTAGTAAAATATTGTGCTCGTCCTAGTTTATCTAAAATTGAATCTATGTTCGGTAGTGGATATTTATCATCGATCGTCACTTCATTAAGCTTCCTATAATCTACCACTAATCTATATTTACGCTCTCCAGAATTATCTATTTTCTTGGGTACTACTATTAATGGGCTTG